TTCGGCTCCCACGTTAGCAGCAGCTGGCACCTTGCTCCACCTCCAACTGCCAACCTCTCTTGATGGTGTACCTAGGCAGTGGCAGCTTTGCCGTGTTTGTATGTTTGCCCCCAAGCAGCAGTTGATCAGGCAGCTGGAACATCAGGCGAATTGTGTTCTGATAGCCGACGGCATGCTGACATTGGCAGCGCTTGCTTAGACAGCGTGGTGCCACGGCACCTACGTGCTCTCTGCTGTACTCAACTGACACACGTCCATTCCTCCTGTCCTGCCTCTGCAGTCTTCTACACAATGGCCCGTACCAAGCAGACCGCACGCAAGTCCACGGGAGGCAAGGCTCCCCGCAAGCAGCTGGCCACCAAGGCTGCTCGCAAGTCCGCCCCCGCCACCGGTGGCGTCAAGAAGCCCCACCGCTACCGCCCCGGCACCGTCGCCCTGCGTGAGATCAGGCGCTACCAGAAGAGCACGGAGCTCCTGATCCGCAAGCTCCCCTTCCAGAGGCTGGTGCGTGAGATCGCTCAGGACTTCAAGTCCGACCTGCGCTTTCAGGGCTCCGCCGTGCTGGCCCTTCAGGAGGCTGCAGAGGCGTACCTGGTGGGTCTGTTTGAGGACACCAACCTGTGCGCCATCCACGCCAAGCGCGTGACCATCATGCCCAAGGACATCCAGCTCGCCCGCCGTATCAGGGGCGAGCGCTCCTAAGCGGAGCGTGGCCTCGGCATTCGGTGCGCTGCTCCCAGTGAGCAGTGCTACACCCTGGTGTTTTTTAACACCACCCCTGTGCCCAGGAATTGCCTCCTCTGCTTGCGTTGTGCAGTTTTCTTCCTGCAACTGTATTTTGAGTTACGGGACCATTTTGTGTTCCGATGTACAAGATGCGTTGTGTATGCAAATCGAACGTCTTGACATAGTCTCTGCCTTTCTTTGTTGTCTCACCTTTTTTGGGAAACATGAATGCAGCACCGCTATAGCTCTCCTATGAATGAACAAGGTGTGTGAGCCTCTGCATTATCCCTCATCAATGACGATGCATGCATCCCGCACTCCCAAGCACGCTCATGTGGCTGTGGCATGAGCGATGCGTCCTGGTTACAAATATGCTGGCCGTGTTGCAGCGTGACGTATGCAATTGCATCGTTTTGAAATGATGTTCACATGTCAGCTGATGAACTCTGCTGAAGGGCTGCAGCGTGCGCACTGGCGATGGCGGTCCTGGCTTTCAGGCTGATGTGCAGGCCGGGGTGGAGTGCGCGCAGCTCCTGCGGCGGGAGCAGCGGCACTTGGGGATAGCTTTCTTTTGGTGTGTGGCGACATGACGGTGGCGGCGCGCTGCATCAGCAGCTTCAGGAAGATGCTTACACAAGTGTGAAATTGCTGCATTCCATCAAAGCTCGTGTGGAGGTTGATGCGCTGCATCAAGAGGTGTCCCACATCGTCCTGATCGTTGCGGTGCACAAAACTGCATCACAAACGCAGAGCAATGCATAAATAAACACCACATTTGGGCAATGGTATGGTTTATGGAAGCATTGTACTTCTATTTGAATTGAAATGCTGCCTTGCAACAAACAACCTCTGTTGCTTTGTCAACGTCCCCGTGATCCGTGTGGGTGCTTGAGTGAGTGATATGGCGTACTGGAGCATGCATGTTGCTGATTTTTTCACCTTCAGCCTCAACAAGGGCCTTGACACGCAGTAGGGTACATGCGCGCCTTGCAAGAATTGCGGCGTACAAGCATACCACAGCCACCCCCCTCCCAAATACATCTAGCCAAGGCACCTCGCAGCGACTTCGTAAGTATCCTTGGAAATGCCCTCTGCATCTCTGATGCGCAGCAGCTGCTCCTTCATTAATGCCTGCCGCTCCGCATCAAACCGCCGCCATTGACTGAGGCTGCCTACCAGGCGCGATGCCACCTGCACCACACACCAAAGAAGCACGGCACATGCTGCTTGTTAGAGGACGGTGATGCATGCTTCAAGGTAGCAGATGCTGTGCATGAGTAAGTCATTTGCATTCTATGTGATGCTGACTACCTGCAGTACTTCAGCCATTGTCATGCAACCGAGCAGACATCATCAAATGCAATCTCACGCAGCGTGAACACTATGTTCTTGCCACAATGGCACAGCAAATGATGCTGTATGGGGGTAGTGTCTCCATACATACCTCATACATCCCACCTGAACAGATGGCAATATCATCAAGTCATGCTGCAGCTTGAAGCACTGAAGACACTTGTGAATTTGTGTGCGTTTACTCCACTATTCTTTTGATGTCACAATAGCACAGTCCCACAACCTTTCTGTTTTTGAAAGCACATGCTGAAAACTCTGTTGCTGCGCCTTGACTATGCTGAAAACTCTGTTGCTGCGTGCCTTGACTCGCCTGTGCGTTGATCTGGTCGACCTGCAAGCACATGTCGCCCAAAAACGCGTACGCTGCTCCGCTCTTGGCGTGGAACTTGGTCATGTTGGCGGCAAACACGCTGACCAGCGAACGCAGCCTGTTGGGGTTCTTGAGTGTGAAATCAGGGTGGCTCACGAGCGCCTGGCAAACAGTCCAGGCAACAGCAGGAAATGATGATGAAAGAGTTGCATGAATCGCACTAGAGCGTCGGCGAAATAGTGTGTGCAGCAGTGGTCAGAGCGCACACAGTGGGAGCTGTTGGTGGTCTGCATGCAAGGTGCTTTGCGGGCAGGCAGGCCAAGCACACCATCAATGATGAAGGTGTATTTCCAATGCAACAGCAGTGTGGCACACAGGCAAACATGGTCATCACACACAGGATCACAACCAAGGCTGAGCTTGAACTAGATGACTCTGGAATAGTATTTTGATGAAGCCCTTGGCATCGTTAATGCATACAGTTGTATACTTCGAAGTACATGATTTGTGGTTTCAAGAAGCATGCCAAACTCAGCAAACGCACCTTGACACGGTCCAGTACATCTGGCAGGTCGCTGGATGCCTGCAGCGAGAACCACTTGTTCAGCACCAGGGCGTCTGACTTGGCAAATTGGTAGAAAGACTCCAGTGCCGCCTCCCTCTGTGGTGGGAAGAAATGATGTGTGCAAGGTAGAATGCAGCAGCATTAGAAAGGCAGTAGCGTGGAACAGCCCCAGAACGTGCCACACGTTGCTTGTCAAGTGCATGGTGTCTGCATGCCTGACTGGTGAACGCCATGGGCTAAACGACTCAGCAAAGCACTTGTGGAGGCCAAAGCAGACAGCAACGATGGCTCTTGCCAAGACGGCAAACACATGCTAAACATTGGTCAAAGCAGGCAAATGTACGCCAACACTGAAAAAAACATTGCTGACCTGTCTTGTTACAGCAGTTGAACTTGAGCATTGAGAGCCACTTATGAAAAATATGGTGACTTGGCACTTTCGAATAGGGATCACAGTTCCAACTTGCCATTAGCCAATGAGTCGAGAACACCTGCAACACCTGGCGCTTTGCACAATTGTGCGGGTTGGTTACCTTAGGGCCAGGAATGTCTGCCAGGCATGACAGCGCTGCCACCTTGTCAGTCATGCAGTCCGCGCTCTCGTACTGCTTGAAGCACAGGTCTGCTGCAGCGTCATCCTGCACGTGAAGAGTACCATTGCGGTCAACAAAAGGTGTCAAAAGGTGTCAGACATGCCATGGCAAAAGCTTCCTGTGACGTGCCTGCTTTCGTGTTGCCATGATTGCAGCTAAAGGTGAGGGATGCATGGCATGTGATGGCATGCAGATGCATGTCCTTTCCACATGCGATTTACTTCACAAGAGACATGTTCCCCTGCAGGACAACTCGTGTACGCACACAACAGAGCGCAAGAAATGCCCTCCTGTGTGCAGCGCCATCTTGGAAGCTACACCAGCATTGACTCTGCCTTTGCAGGATGGCTGAGATGGCATATGGTAGCATGTGCAACAGCACCATGCATGAGCAGCAAATTTCTAGCCACGCACCCTTCTGGCAGTGCCATACCTGCAACAAACAACGGTCAATGATTCCTGAAAGGTCTCACCTTGAGTGAGTGAATGTAGTCCAGGATGGTGTTGCGCAGCCGCCTGCGGCCAACTTCCTCCCTGCGGTACATGCACCAAACAAAAGCAAGCAACAAGTGGAAGCAATGAGCAAGCAACAAGTGGAAGCAAGGAGAATTCTTCACATTCACGTTCACAACAGCAGGCCCTCCTCTTGCAAACCGTTAAGCACACAGCCAGCAGTGTCATCACCAAAAGAGCACAGGCGCATTCAATCAAGCTGTAACCGAACTCACCCTGTCTTCTGGTACGGGCCAGAGGGTGCCAGGCTCTCATACTTGGCCTTTAGCTCAGGCATCAGCGCCGTGGCAATGGATGTGCGCACATGCTTGGCAGCAGCGCCCAGCGCATCCGGATCAATGACATCCATCTCCTCCGCTAGCGTTGAGCTGCTGGGCAGGCTGAGGGCGTATGCCTGTGATTGAAGTCGCAGCAGTGATTGAAGTTGGAAACCAGAGATGAGATTTTAATTCAATGAGTTTCAAAAGTTCAGCAGCAAGATGAGGTGAACAGTGAGTTCAGAGGAGGCATTAATGGGGGGGCTAGTCAAGGCTCAATGCATGGGGCTTAACACGATGATGACCGCCACCGCCATGTCATTCAAGCTGAAGGGCAGGCTCTGTCAAGCACCCTTACTGGTACTGCACAGGCAGCAGCTGCAACCATGGCTGTAGAAAGTGCAATTAGCTCTCACGGCCTTCCAACAAACAAAGGAGGTCCAGAGCTCGGCAGCATCATGACATCATGTTGCGTGTCATGTCATCACGTTGAGCACCTGAAGAGACTTGTCGCCAGTGTCCTGCAGCAAGGTGGCCTTGAAAGAGTCCAGGAAAACCTTGGGCAGCTCAGGCAGTGACTCGCCAGTTTGCGCCTTCTTGGTGAGACTCAGCAGCAGCCTGCTCATGGATCATCAAAAGAGCATGGTAAATTAAAACATGGGCAATTCCTGTGCTCATGTCGAGGTGAAATGGCCGAGCGGTCTAAGGCGCCAGTTTAAGGCACTGGTCTTCATTGGCGTGGGTTCAAATCCCACTTTCATCAGCAATAATTGATTTTTGCGCAGCGCAGACTAGGCTGCTGCGCTGACGTAAACTTTTTAGAACTTTTTTCAATTGCATAGGCAACCCGGCCTCCCTTGGGCCTTTATAAATACTTATCTATACGTACTCAGGTCGCATGACACGTATGGCCAGGATCATGACACCTGTGACATTGTATGTGTTTGAGCAATCATTGCCTCAATGACAAAATATGGGCGTGCCAAATGCGCTGTACAGAATGCAATCAGGACTTCGAGGGCACAGCACACTACCCAGAGCCCACTGCTGCAAACACGGATGCTGCTAAGCACAACACAGAGGATTCAACTTCAACATGAACTTGAGCAATTGCATATATGGCGCTCACTGTCCACATTACAGCAAACAGGCCACACATGCAGTCCAAATCAGCAACCGAGTGACAGAATAAACAATATGCCAGGCGACACGCCACATAAATCATTGACGAACCTCTGTGCCAGCTGCTGTCCTGCCTCCCAGCGGTTGAAGGAGTCTGTGTCGTATGTCATCAAAAAGGCCAGGTCCTCGTCAGAGTACTCATACCTGCAATGGTGACAGAAGAAAGCGGGGCATATGGGTCAGCATACATAGTTATTGGTGGCAACTGTGGCGTACGTGCGGCAAAATGTTCAAAGCAGGGGGTGCTGCGTGCAACATGTGCAGACCTGCTTTTTCCAGCTGCCATGCATATGCATGGCTACCACAACATGCCGCTACCTGCTGCAGCCTGGCAGCGAGTACGCTGATTAATTCCATGAGTTGTACTCCTTTACATGCGCATGTCATTCACATGCGGCCGGGTGCAAACAGATTGTCATCATCAACACGCGCATGAGTTTGCTGACCTCAGCTTGACCGGTGCGCTGAAGCCTCTGAGAATGGAGGGCACAGGTTCGCTGGGAATGTTGTCAAAAGTGAAGGTCTGCTCAGCCTCCTTCAGCTCCAGAACCTGAGCAAACACAACCATCATTGCGGCAACAACAACATGCTGTGAGATAGCGCAGGCAGGGCCAGATAGGATGAGAACTGTATGACCGCCATGCAGTCAAGTATTTGTTGCGAGGCGAACGCTGCATTGTGGATGGTGGTTGCATTTGAGTGTTCACAGCAGACAACATGCTGCCAAGCATAATAAATGCACAACTGTAATGAAGTACAAGCTACTTGCGTGAATTCAGCAACGCATGGCAATGGGAGCATGTAGACACTCACGTGGTATCGTATTTTAGTAAGTGAACGAGAAGGGTGCTCTGGGCGCTGTGAACACGAAATGGTTTCAAGTGTGCATGTTGCGTTGCATCTACGCCAGCAAGTACTATTACGCTGACAGGTCCAGTGAGCAGCACACATGTAAGTTGCTTGCACGCACAAGCTTCGACATTTGCTCTAGCACAGCCCTACCAGCCCTTGTAGGCACACAAACTCAGTAATTGAGCTTCTTGTCGGTGTGACCTTGCACGGTACCATTTCAGTCGCCCATGCATCAGAAGCGCACATAGTGGCAGCCAAGCCTGTCGTGTATGTCGTAGTAGAGTGTGTAATTGTGACTAACCTTAGAGGGGACCACCTCTGAGCCATCCCTCAGCAGCAGCCCCACCTTCACTGGGATGTGAAACGGGTCCTTGTGCTCCTGGTTTGGTGTGGGCTTGGTGCTCTGCAACAAAGGAACCATATGGGACACATTTCCATGAGACAAAGAGGCAGGCAGCAAGCAGAGGTTACGCTTCAACTACTGGCGTTAACTGGGATGAACGCATCCTGTCTTGTGGATGGAAAAGGCTTGGCACAGCACAGGTTCACAAAATTGTTGAAAAAGCCACCATGGCGCTATCTACGCCAAGATGCTGCTGCACTGCCGTTTGCGACTTGTAGCAGGATGCAACTGACACAAAGAGTCATGAGGCCAGTTGGCCCGAACGCTTGTGTGTGCCTTCCTGTTGCACACCAATGGCAGAGCAGAATGAGCAGATGGGGACGACAGCGCACTGAGAACCTGGTGCTTGTGTGTGTGGCTACACCGCCAAGGCTGCCACTGGTTCTGCCAGTAATTACCATTCTGGACACAGCGTTGACATAAGCAGCTTGTGGCTTGCCTGCTTCAGCTTGAGCGAGAATGTCTTGGCATCAGCATCGTAAGTGCCGGTTGCCTCCAGCGTAGGCGTGCCAGCCTGGAGGTACCATCGCTCAAACTGGCTCAGGTCAACCTGCAGCACATGATGAGGCATCATGAAAATCAGTAGGTGAGAGATCACATGATTCGAGAGGCAAGCGCTGTGTTTGGTCAGTGGCACTGGCACAGTGCATGGTACATCAAGGCATGTACTGAATGGTGCCAATGAAAGTACATATTCATCAGGAAGTGCACTGCGCAGAGCCTCCAAGACCAGCATGTAGGTGTGACAGACGCCGTGGTAACAAGTCTTAAAGAGCGCCGCATGGCACATCCACAAAAGACGTGTGAGCATATCTTCTGCAGCTTGTCTACTCACATTGTTTGCGTCCGCCATGGCTGCGCGGAAGTCATCACACGTTACGGCCTGGCCGTCGTGCCTCTTGAAGTACAGGTCCATGCCCTTGCGGAACCCGTCAGTGCCCAAGAGCGTGTGGTACATGCGGATCACCTGCGGTCGACATTGCATGAACATGCAGCTGCGTGATCATTCTCGCATTGTTGTGAGCGGTATGTGGTTGTTGCGCAAGGTGTCAGCATCATGGCAGGCTGTTTGTTGTGGCCCAAAGAAACTAAGAGCTGTGCGTGCCAGCACCAGCAGTGCCTGTTCTCTGGCTGCAAAGTACGTGAGTGCACATCTGGTAAGATACACCAGCACGTGACAACATTGTGTTTGCAGACACAAGTTCAAATGAGAGCTCAGAATGATCGTTTGTAGCATACTCCGCAGTGTGCTGTTTTGGAGGCTGCGATTACTGATGGCGTCCATCAAACTGCAATTCAACACATTGCGCAGATTGTTGCTCACCTCTGCTCCCTTCTGGTAGACGGTGGAGGTATAGAAGTTGTCCATGACCTGGTACTGCTCTGGGCGAATGGGGTGTGCCAGAGGAGATGAGTCCTCAGGGAACTGACGAGCCCTGGCAAATGCGCAAGAAACACGGTCGCAACAACAGTGTTCAGTCAAATGCGCTTTTGCAAGCCCGTGACTGCAGTGTACACATGCAGCGCACACTGTCACCTTCAAGCGCTGTCAAACCGCGAGCTTGAAGCTCGAGGCGCTGTGAGATCCTACATAATTCGTGCACTGTGCAAAATGCTCTAGCATGCCTGAAGTATTGCACTAAATCACAATCTGCACTCGGGCGCTCCTTGCAGATGGGCAGGATGAATGAGCTAAGGCCATTGCCCAGGCAAAACAAGTCTACCATATGAGAATTGGTTATGTGGCATTTGCGCACCTGAGGCCCCTCACATCTTCAATGCGCTTCACAGCGTCAGACCCCATGTATGCGCTGAACTGCTGGTCGCGGAAGACTGTCAGGCCCTGTGATCACGTGGGCACAGGTGCATGCAAGGACAGTGCTCAGTAGCTAGATAAAAAAAGCATAGGCTGCCATGCACTTGAACGCAAGGGGCGGAGGCATGCAACGTTCACAGATGGTAATCAGCAACATGCACAAGACCTGATTGAACAGCACTGCGATGCAGCAGATGTTGATGGCTGGCAATAGTCAGCTTCAGGCCACACGACAGTACTGCGCCTGGCCTGTGTGCAAGACTACACAAGTGCTGTGCACTACACAAGTCACCAATGACCCTGATTCAATGTTGCTGCATGGCCAATAAAAGTTCGGCAGTGCCGTTGGGAGCTGTACGCAGTAAGCTCTGCTACTGTTACTCGGCATGGCACACTGACGCGTCTTCACCACCATCACCTGCATGTCCAGCAGTTCACAACTCTAACAGGATGTGGGGATGCACATGAGCATCATGATCACCGCACTCAACTGCCTGCCGGTGATCTCGCAGCATATCAAGCTCATTCTAGCAGGAAACATTCAATCAGCACACATTAAGCTTACCTCCTTGAGAGTGAGCTGGAACCAGTCTCTGCAGGTCACCCGGTTGCCTGCATTGCATTGAGCCCCAACAAGGTGTGCACGTTATGTGAGATGAGCAGAAGCCCTGGGCAGTTATTGAGCAACATGACCCTGGACATGAGGCGTCCAAAAGAATCAAGAATGTCGAGCGTGACAAACACTCAAGACCGTATTGAGCGCAGTAAGTGACACAAAAGAGTCATTGACTGGCGTCTGGCCGAACAGACGATGAAAAAGACAACCCCTGTCCTCGTAGACATGGTGCAGAATCCATGCTACGTTCAGAGGGGCAGCCATGGATCGTCATTGGAGCAGCATTGGCAGACAGCCGAGGATACTTCAACCAACCATTAGACACGTACCGGGCTTGAACCTCAGAGGCCTGGCCTGTGGGCAGGCAGGTTGACCGCAGCATGATCGCTTTTTCACACTAATGCTCTACTGTGGCGGCAAGACTGATCAACAACTTGAGTGTGCGTGCCATACCAGTCAAGGCAAATCAGACATCAAACACCCATGGGGCTTCAGTTGATGACATCAAGAATAGCAAGGCTCTCTCACCGGTCCAGTTGTGGAAGTATTCATGTCCTATTACGCCCTCCACACGCTCATAGTCGAGGTCAGTGGCAGTATCGGGCTGCGCACACCAGCAGCAAACGATCGGCAAGGTCACAACGTGAGTCAAAAACATGACATGGCAGTGCATCGATACCGCACAATTTCAGTGCACATGGACAAGCACGTGTTTCTAAACTTAAAGTGCCCGGAGAACCATCACCCAAGCTCCTTCGGCCTGCTGATGCGCTGACTCACCAAGGTGGTCAACTCAATGCGCAACAGCACAAACGGACAGCACAAGGACAACTGAGTCAAAACATGCGCGACCAGGAACGAAACCGCATAATTTCAGTGCACATGGACAAGCAC